TGTGTGCCAGAGACCAATTCTGGGTGTCATTCCTCAGGATACAGTCTACTTTGTTGTTTGAGACAGTCTCTCATTGGCCTGGAGCCTATGAGAAGGTTTGGTTGACTGCCCAGAGAATTCCAGGGATCTTTCCAACTCTACCTCTCCAGTGCTGGGAATTCAAACATGTTCCATGATGCCCCACGTTTCCAATTTGGGTTATGGGAATCAAACTGATTTTCATGCTTGAACAGTGAGCATTTTGTCCACTGAGCTATCTCTATAGCTTGGTGTACTTTCTCTTTATTCTGTTCCCAGGTATCGACAAACAGAACCCCTGATTAGGATGATTGGGGGGTCGAGCTCTCAGTCTAGTTTGAATTCAAGCAGAAGAAAAATGGGAGGATGTTGACTGCTGAGGACACGGTTTCCTTCAGCCAAGTGCATATATTCATCTATATGTTTAAAATGTGAAGCACTTCTGCTATTAAGCTCGTACTTGTTTATCACAAAAATTTTAGAAAAGTACAGTAAAGTGCCAAAAGAGAGAGAGAGAAAAGATCATTGCTGACCTACTAATGTTTTTATGTATCCACTTTCTTCTTTCCTATAGCTTTCTATAGCAAATTCTACATTCGTGAACATAAAATTTAGCTATACTTTCCTACTAAATTTGTAACAAAAACATTTCCCATATTATTTCAAACATTTGTGAATCTTGAAAGAAATGACCACATGGTTTCTTATATTGTTGCATTCTTGCTGTTGGAAATTTAAGTGTTTTTTTTTTTTTCTGGGTATAAGTAATATTATGGAGAATATCTTTATCTAGATAAATATTTCTCCCCTTTGAAAATTATTTCCTCGGGAGAAACTACTGGGTTGAAAGGAATTTATTTTCTGCCTGATTATCACAGCAAGGTGAGTTTATCATTGGCATGTAAAATATAATAAAACTGGAAGAGGAAAAAAGTGTTCCTCATCCTCTGCCCGGAGGCAACTGATATTAGCAGTTTGACATGATTTCTTCTGATAAAGGCAGTTATTTTCTTTCTTAGTAAGACTCCAGGGTACAAACAATTTTAAGGCTTTCGATAATACTGCCAAGATTGCTTTCAAGTTTTTAGTTTAGTCTTCTGGGAGTGTATGAGTTGTGACCACTCTGAAAACACCAGCGTCTAGAAGCTGTCAGGTAAGCTTGATCATTTCCAAACCTTCTGCACCTTTGCTGTGACTCCCTGAAAGTCGATGAGCCGAGGAAGGGCATGAAAAAAAAGTGTGAGACAAATATGACTCAGCAAACTCATTTCCAGGTTTGGATCTAATTGAAATCCATGTTTCTGAAAGGCTGCCTTTGTTAAATGTGTTCATTGTGGGGTATTTAGACATGCTTGCTTGTGACAGATAGCTATAAACATCAGCCCACTGGATCAGCTTGATGAGGACAGGCTACTGGCCACTTACAAATACAGATAGAAGGAAGTGGTCCTCAAGGAGGGGCTCTCCAAACTTCTTCAGGATATGGTGCACATGGAGAACAATAACATCTTTCTGTATGCTGGAGAATACAAACAAGACTGCTGTAGACTTGGGCCCCACCAGGCTTTTCTAGAGGATGAGAAACCAAGATCTCAGTCTCCTGCAATTGGTTGTTGTATCAGTCGAGCCAGTTTTACATTTATGTCTTCTGATGCTAGGAAGAGTGCACACACACACACACACACACACACACTTTTCTCTCTCTCATCCTAGTTTTGTTCTCCCATCCAGTTCGTGCACCAAGTACACTTGTTTCCTGACTGAGAGTGCTGTTTTGGGAGGTTGGTAGAATTTTTAGATGAGGCATGGCTGGTGGAAGTAGGTCACTAGAAGAAGGCCTCTGGTTCTGGCAACTGACTACTTCCTGTCCATTGCCTTATGAACAGCTACTGTCACACACCATAGCCTTGCTGCTCTGGACTGTGCTTTTCCATCATGGCTTCTATATCAGGATGAACTGAAAACATGAACCTCAAACAAAACTTTCCACCTCAAATTGCTTCTGTCACCTACTTTGCTCAGTGCAATTAATTAATTGCAGTTAACTAATTAGAAAGAAATTAATACACACAGAACCCCAATATTTCCTTGTAGAAGGCACATGCTTTTTTTATAACAACCTTTCATGTTAGCTATTACAAGTCTTACATGTTAACTATTCTCTATAAAACACATCCAAATCCTGTTAAGAAAGTTTTCTTCTTTGGCCTCTCCTATCAGAAGTCTTTCAACAATTCAACAATTATTAACTGAGTTCTAGCATGGACCAGGCACTTTAGTAAACACTGGGGATAGAAAACTGGCTTAGGACTCTCATATGTTCACAGCTGTATGGAAGGAAGCACAAGAATGACAAGGGAAAATGGGAAGAATTTCATCAGAGAAGGAGCCACATTCCATGTAATGGGGAGGCTTCCAAAAGCAGTATGGGACAGGAACGAGGACTAGAAATTGTATCCACTAATCCAGAACCTACTGGATAAGAGATAGAAACTGGAGTTTTTAGGCAATGGATGAGATTTCATTGTGTGCCTTTAACACCAATATGAGAGTACCAGAAAACATAACAGAGGTTGAGGATGTGAAGGAAGGAAGCCAAGGCTAGATTTTTGAGGATCTCTGTCACCTTAGAACTTGTTTTACAATGGATCTCTGGTAGCAGCTGGCATCTGCAGACCATTGTGGGCTGGGGAAACTACTCCCATAGTAATGGTACTAATGTAGGAAATGGGAGGAGATTGGGTTGAATATGGCAACTTTGAAACACCTAGGAAAGAATGGTAAGACTTCAAAAAACAAACAAACAAACAAAACCCAACACCAGACATAAGAAACACTCTTCTGAGTTGTTGGCCAGAACTGCCCAAGAGACTTGCCAAATATACAGCCAATTGCTGTTGTTCTTGGTTACTCCTAGAAATGGAATAAATGAACGCTGAAGACACCATGCATTTCAGAAACAGGGCCTAGGAAACCCTGAGCTGGAAATGACTTGAAAGCACCCTCCCTGGGACTAGCTTTCATGGTGCCAGAAGGTTTCATGCAAGCTTCATAAGGAAGGAGGCAACGAGCCTGTACAGTCCTACCCATCTACGATGCGTATGAACCACTTCAACAGCCAGCATGGCATAATAACTCTAAGGGTACAGTAATGGAATGACTAACTTGGAGGTAACCAACAGCTCAACAAGAGGGAAACCATGCCCATACTGGGAATCTAAATAACTACTCAGTGCTAGTGAAGTACTGGTTATTGGAGGAAAATCTACAACCATTAATTTACTAAACCAGCATATTACCTAACAACAATCTATAAGCATCTGCTCTTATACCCACAGATAATGCTGTCTTCATCCCCCATCAAGGAAACTCCTCTTTGCAACAGAGAGCACTACAGAAAGCCACAACTGATCAGAATGCAGTAGCTTTTTGTAGTGCTACATATACAAAACACCCCTGCACCTAAAGCTCAGAAAATATTATGGAATAGGTGATGAGAAAATGATCAGAGCCAGAGGTCAGGGAATTTGCTGTGAGATGGTATCAGAAACCACACTCATAAAGTCTCACCCTCAAGGGTGAGCTGAACAAGGATGATACCAATGAACAAATCAAACTGAATGAGGAAAAGCCCATGAGGTCTCAACCCTACAGAGAACTATAGGTAACTGAGGAAAAGTGGGAAGAGGAGAGGTCTTTCTCAGGGGTGAGCATTCCAATTGGTGGTCCAGTGCCAGCTGGTCAGGCCTGAGAACATACATACAGGTATCATATATGGACTGAACAGGTTATATTTAGGAATATAATATATATATATATGTGTGTGTGTGTATACATATACACATATAGTAACAATTATTAAAGAGAGAGAAAGCGAGCATGAATTTGAAGGAGGGACACATGGGAGGCTTTGGAAGGAGGGTAGGAGATAGAGAGTTACACAGAATGGGGCTTCATTAGTCATAGAATCCATAAAAATGGCTGAGGAGTATAAGAGCTCAGCTTGGGCAAGTAAATATATCATTGTGCTACTAGCACGAAAGATTAAAAAAAAATTTATCCCATCATTCCAGCTCCTCTGGTCCAAAATGGCCCCTTAGACTCAACGCAGAGACCTTTTCTTGTTCAATTCTGTATTCCCATCTCATTAGAGAACATTCCCTTTCTAGAACAGTCATTGGATTCATCAGCAGACACTGCTTCTCAAGCACAAGGTTATCATTTCACACATGTTAGGTCTGTTTTCTATAGAGGCTTGGAGGACTGTTCCCAGGACCCACATCATGGGTTTCTCTGATATTCGTCTCATTCTCTATCTCAGAGATGGGTATTTGCTAAGTCCACTAGGGTGTAGGAGCTAGTGCAGTAGTTACAAATGAAGACTTATTTACTTGTGTGTGTTTGTGTGTGTTATAGGTTTGAGTGTTTTGCCTGCACATGTATCTGTGTGGCACGTATGTATCTGGTGCCTGTGGAGGCCAGAACAGAGTGTCAGAATCCCTGGAAGTGGAGTTTACAGATGGTTGTGAGCCACTGCTTCGGTGCTGGGAACCAACCCCCGCTACTCTGGAAGAGCTGCGAGTTCTCTTAACCACTGAGTAAGCTACTCTGCTTCTAGGCCCTAAGAAGAAACCCCCAGAAACTGCTTTGCACCCCAAGCCTCCTAAGACACTGCTTGAAAAACTGGGGGCCAGACATGGTTGGAGAGTCACATGGACATGTATTTGAAGCTCCTCACTAGGGTATTGTTGGTTTTGATAACGATAACAAGATAATTGCTAATTGACCAAGTGTCTGATCTTTGCAGAGTTGGTACTTGATCACTGTAATAAATGTATTCACACCCAGAGCAAGAAAAGCCAGAGTTTGGGTGATGTGAGAGGTATGCTTAACACCAGGAAGAGGGCCCATTTTGTCCTCTGTTCCATCCTTTCCACACAGCCATGATCCCCTGCCTTTTCATGAGGTCTATCAATATTTAATGTGTGGGTGTCAGTTGCTGTAATTGAGCGTCCTCCAGAACCAACCTGAATTAATCATATGCAGGAGGAGAGAAAATAAAATGCCCCTTTTTCAGAGCTGGGTTCCACTGGCTACTTGGAAGCCTGGAAACCGCTGCAGAACTCTCTGCTGATGGAGGACCCCGACAAGAAACTGAATCAGAAGAGCGACGACAAACCCAGGAAAGTACGCTTCAAAATCTCCTCTTCCTACAGCGGCCGAGTGTTGAAGCAGGTCTTTGAGGATGGGCAGGAATTAGAGTCACCCAAAGAGGAATACCCTCACAGTTTTCTGCAGGAAGCCCTTGAACCAATGGATGGTGTTTATGGGTCAGGAGAAGCCCCCAAGCCCCAGCTGTACTCCCCTAAACTGACCGCTCAGAGGATCAGTGTTTTCCGAGATAGCGGTGCCTACACACTGGCGAGCAGTCAGCCTCTGTTCAATGACTACAAGGTGAACGACCATAAGGTTGGTATTGTGTGAGGTTATGGGCTTTTAGGGTATGCTCCCTGAAATACGTCTAGCAAAATGCCAAAGTGCTTATTCAGATACATTCCTCGCTCAAGTTCAGCTACCGGCCAGAGCTGTAGGTGCATCAAATGGGACCTGTTATTAGAATAATATTTCCCGGACAAAAATAACACGCAGGTTGACTACTCGAAAGTGTGACGAACACACGCAGCATTCAAATTCCATCCAGGGTAATACGCTGTAATTGGGTTTTTGGCTGAGTTTCCTCTGTGTGTAAATTAAATAGAGGTGCAGTGGTTTTCAGGTTGCCAGCCTGTCGTTTTAGAGAGTTATGCTGCAGTAGGTCATTTCCTTTCCTGAAAGAATTGAATATTTGAAGGCACCCGTTTTGCTCCAGCCAATTACTCTGCTGCATTTTATCTGTGTCTTGTTTTTTTCTCCTTATCACTTTCCTACTGCCTGCTTTTAAAAATTGTTGGTCTATTTGTTTAGTTTTGCCTTCCCAGCGCTCATTAATGTGCACACTGGATAAATGGAATTCTGGGAAGAAATGGTGAAAAGTAAATCAAACAAAGGAAGTGTTTCTTGGAGAAGTTTGAACTAAGAGCTCTTTGCACGGGTTTCCTTAGTGTTTCTGGTACAGTGGATAATCAGAAATCCCTGCAGGAGTCTATTATAAGCCAAAACAACATGGGAAATACTCAATGATTTCCAGAATCTTAGGAGATGGGTTTGTGCTCATGGCAGTAGAAATATGAATGTTGTTTCTCTTAAAGTGTACATATATGTAATGTATCTAAGTTATTAATGGTAACTATTCCATGATATGTCCTCATCTTGGAGGTATTTGCAGATAATTATTTTTAATCACTTTTATTGTTCATTTCCTGAGAAAATAAGTATTGCAGGCAAATGTTTCAGGCTTGGTGATATTGGCAAAATTGTAACACTCAAAATTATCATTTTTGTATAAAGGGATTAAGAATGAAAATCCCTTATTTTAGTAGAAAGTTCTATGCATTATAAAGTGCTGTATGGATTGTCTTCTATGTCCATCATGTTCTTTTCTTTACTGCATTCTCAAGGAAAAAAAGCAAGGTATGTCATTTCTATTTTGTGAAGAAGGAAAATTATGTGCCAAGTTGATTAAACGCCACAAATCATTATAGGGACCTAAGGTGCTGAGTCAGACTAGGAATCCAGATCCCCTGGTTTTGCATACTTTAATCTCTATGGCATGTTCCTTTTTAATGAACAAGATCATTACATGGTAATGATGACGATAATGATGTTAGTGATATTTGCTATTTACTCATGTCCTAGGTACTTAGCTATGTTTTGTGCTTACAATAGTCCTTTGTAACTGTATCTTATTTGGAAGTTGAGATTTAATAAAGGCATAGTTCACACAAACCATGATAGTTAATTTAAGCTGTTTCATAACTCATATGCCAACTTTGGCACATGTAAGAATGTTTTGACATAGACTTATAAAACCAGATTGAAACACAAACATTCCAGATGCCATGTTGAAAGTTGGATACCTTATTTTCTCTGTTGTTCTACCAATGGCCACATCCCACTGTTATCAAGCTCTGAGTGTGTTAGGGACCATGATGGACGTTTGCAGTTCACCTATAGAAACAGTTCAGAGTGGTATTCATGAAAAACAAGGAAACAAAAGCTGAGCTTCATGACTTCCCAACAGCTGTAAATTAACCTCTCTTAAATGCTGCCTATGATATCGTGATGGGTTACGGTTAAGTGCAGTGATTCACCCAAGTGTTTGGAACACAAATAGATATTTGTACACCACTATTCACAGAAATTCACAAGCAAATTAAAGTGAAAGTTGATGAATGGCTACACAAGAAGTGGTATATACACATAATGGAATATTACAACACCTTAGGGCATTTTCATGTGCTTCAACACGGGTGAAGCCTGAGCACATCAGGCTAAGTGAAATAAGCCATGCACAATCAGGCAAACCTGTACTGTTGCAGCTCCATGATGCACTTATGGTACAAATCAATGGAGACAAAAAGTAAATGGTGCTTGTCAGGCTAGGGGTAGAGAGAAGAGAAGATGTTACTGTTTGTGGAATCAGCATATCAGTTTGGGAAGATAAAGTCTTGGAGATAAAAGTTGTAAGACATGTGAATGCTAGGAAACTCTACACTTATAAATGGTTAAAATAGTAAATTGTATGTTATACATGCTTTACTAATTGTAATAATAAAAACAAAACATGGGCTCTGATGCCCATTAAAGTCCAGGACTACCCACTTCCGGTGTGAGTTTGAACAAACTCACTTTGTTGAGCCCCAATGTCATCATCTTGGCCTGAGAATGAGAAGTACCTTCTTAGAAGGCCCATTAAGATGATTAAAATAGATAATTTTTGCAAAGTGCCTGGCACCCTATATATGTTTTAGTAGTTCTTATGGAAATGTTAAGTCTACTTTTTATATTTTGTGATGGGTAGAAAAGGTGGTGATAAATAATAAAAATATGTTAAGGAATCAAAAATCACTGTAATGTGTAGGGATCATGAAACTGTGGACAGGGAAAGAAAGGGAGGTAACATTTACTGAACAACCAATTCATATGTATTAAGTGTTGTCATATTTACAATATTTTAATGAGAAAGAAAGCTTCAAATTGAGAAAACAGGGTTTATAGGTTAAAATAACCTGTCCAACTAACATAGTTGTCAAACAACATTTGAATAAAATTTGAATTGGGTTTCTCTGACTGAAGTCCTCGTATCTAACAAGGCTTTTCTGCACTCATTCATGTCTGGATAACTGTTTCTAGGCACATGGCTATAGAAACCAGAATATTTACAGATACTTTCCCACATATGCAGCCATTCTAGGCTGCATGCAAGAAGCTGAGAGATTCTTGACTCCATCTGGCCCTCTATACTACAAGAGTGGATTTTCCTCACAGGCAGCTGGATGTAACCAGACCTTGTAGACTACAGTTACACCCCAGGAGTTTGCTCAGACTCGGGAGAATCTGGCTGGCAAGAGGACTGAAATTAAAGCACATTCAGAATGATTGGGACCCTTCATCTTTGGAGGAAAAGTATTTGCTCTCTTATATGTTGACTGGTGCAGGGGCAGGGAGTTGAAGCAGGTGATCACCACTTCTTTGGGTGTGCTGAGAGTTTAGTCTTCAAGAGAAGAAATGGAAAGAAAACAGCCCTAGATGTGCAGAAACTTCCTGGTAACTGAACCTTTTGGCTATTACAGGAAGTAGAAACAGAACCTTCCAAAAGTACCACCATCCTTATCTCCCGATGTCAGAAACTGATAGTCCAAAGTGTGAAATGGGAATCCAGTGTGCATAAAACAATAGGAAATGGAATCTGCTACAGGATCCTTTGAAGAGGGAGAAAAGAGGGCCAGACAGGAAGCCTGTGGCTTAAATAATCATGGAACTCCTATGGCTGTTTATTGGAGTCTGAATTCCAACTCAATATCTAAATATGAGAGTGTTTAACTGTGGCATCATATCAGTAGACTGAGTTTATACAATTCTAGGGTCAGGGGAAATATTCCATACTGGGGTGTTTGGCTGTAGAACACGAGTGTGCATACACTATTGAAAAACAATTTTTAATAACAGCAGTGATGACGCCCACACTTGCATATTCTCAACAGCTTTTGCAAACCCCACTTTTCTGTATCTTTTACATCATCTTGCATCCTCAGAAAGTGATATCATCCTTAGGCAGCAGAGTAAAATATGTAACCAGAGTTGGGGAAGGGCCCTGGAGCTTGGTAGCTTATGCATTAACCCTTTGGGGGAGGGAGTGGTTTGAGACAGGATTTCTCTGTGTAGCCTTGGCTATCCTGGAACTGGCTCTGTAGACCAGGCTGGTCTTAAACTCACAGATAACAGCCTGCCTCTGCCTCCTGAGTACTGGAATTAAAAGTATGTGCCACCATGCCTGGCTAGCATTAACCCTTGTATTACTGAGCTTGACAGTGTTGGAAGCTCCTGGTGGTGAGACTGGATAATAAGTGACAGAACCCAGGAGTTTCAGCACATCTGTGTTCTAACTACCAGTGGGGAAGTACGTCTGTGTTTAAGAAACTAGCTTGTCTGTGGGAGTGCCTACCAGCTGGGTGTCAAGACACATGCAGATGACCAAAATGGAGTGCATCAGAGGACAATGCCTGCACTGCATCTTGTAACTAGGAGACATCAGCTCTGGAATCCAAGGCTGTTTCCCTCTCAGCTGTGTCTCTGGACAGAACTGTGTGTTCCTGGTCAAGTGGTACCTGAGCATTTACTCCTTTGGTTGTCTTTCCCTCTCCTGCTCCCCCCCCCCCCGCCTCCTGCCTTTCTTCTCCTTCTCTTTCCTCCTCTGTGTCCTGGACTTTCTGAACCCAAGGCTTGACATGTCCTAGGCAAGCTCTCTGCCACTGAGCTACAGGCTTACATCCCTGTCCTCTCTCCAGCTTCTTTAGTGCATTATAGAATTGCCCTTTTTCCCAGTGAGCAAAGCATTAAGTAACACATGGTAAACACATAGAAGGAGACATTAGCTATTAACAATGATCACTTAGAAATATCTTAACATAAAATATTCCTTATTATTTGAATAACAAAAATGGATTATTGCAGGGTCTATTTACTGACATATGTTCTATAATTTCATATTATATATATATATGTATATATGATATATAGAGATATATTTGGGGAGAAAAGAATGCTTGTGAGGTGTTAAGAATATGGGAGTTTGGAAAACAAGCACGGGGGTACACGCCTTTAATCTCAGCACTTAAGAGCAGATGTAAGTGGATCTCTACGCGTTTGAGGTCAGCCTGGTTTATATAGTGAGTTTCAGGTGCCAAGGCTACACAGTGAGACCCTGTCTAAAGAAAAAAGGAAGGAAGAAAGGTAACAAAGAACATGGGCAGAGACCCAGGTTCAGTTCCCAGCGCCCTCATGGTACTCACAACCATCCGTAACTTCAGTTCTAGGAGAGCCAATGTCATGATCTGATCTCTGCAGACACCAAATATGTATGAGATGCACATATTGTTGTGTAAGCAAAACACACACAAAAAGTAAAAAGGATGAATCTAAAATAAAAAAAAAGATATTAGTTTTGAATCCCAACCACAATTTCCAAGGTCACTTGGTCACCTTAGTGAGGTACTTGACCCCTTTGAGAGTTAGTCCTCACTTGTAGAGTGTGGAAATCATAGCATTTACTTCATGGGGGATGTTTGGTACAGGAGTGATGTCAGTTAAATGTTAGCATGATGCTTGACACACAAATAGTGATCGGTAAGTGGTATGAGCTAATATTATATATGCATAGACAAATGGGTAAATATCTGCATGAGAGTGACGGTCCCTTTGCTTGTGCCAAGCCCTGCACTGGCTGTCCTTGGGGGACAGTGGGAACAGAAGCTCTAGACACTGACCTCTACAGTCCTGCCTTCTGAGTAGCTCAATCTTCCTCAGTTCCCATCCTCAGCAAGAAGGAAAGTGATGCTTCTTACTTTTAGAAAGAATAAACGAACTGTGGGGGTGGGGTGGGATGAGTCACAGTTTGGATGGGTGCTAAGCCCACATTTCCTGTTTCTTGGGACGGGCTTTGGGCAGGTTCTGCAATCCTGAGTTTGGTGACTGCTGACGCTCATTCTCTGTTTCTCTAGCCTCCACCTATCATAGACTTTGGGAAGATAATCATCTACACAAACAACCTGAAAATCATCCGAACCCCGATGGACAAAAGGGACTTCATGAGGAAAATCCTCCAGAAGGAAGAGGTTGCTGAGAAAGAGGCTCTGATGAGCACAGGAGAAAGCGATGGAGATAGGGAGCAAAATGCCAGCCCCCTGCCAGAGACGGAAGGCATGTTTCTCCATAATGAGCACATACAGGTGAGTCAGCACTGCTCTTCTTCCCAGGCTGGCCCTGGGAACGTTCCGATCCTGCAATGCCTCCCTAAACACTTTTGAATAACAACATTTGCAATATCTGTTCAAGTGTGAGGGGATTTTAACATTTATTGGCTTGTAATGGCATATTGTTAATATAAATTCACACTTATTAAATTATATTATATATTATATTCATGATTATAAATGCACATTTAGATATAATTTTTAATTTTTTGGATGACTTCTTTTCACATCTGATTAGGAATCTATTGTTTTTTCCTGTGAGTTTTGGCTTATGAACACTGGGTTTTGGAGATGGAAAAAAAATCAGTTCTGTTCTATTTTCTTCATTTAATTCTTCTGAGATGGGGTCTCCAGCGCAAGCTGGTCTTAAAGTCCGTACACAGCTGAGGATGACCTTGAACTTCTGAACCTTCTACCTCTACCTCCAGAGTGCTGCTGTTACAGATAAATGTGTGCCAACACTAGGGTGGTTCACGTGGTGCTGGGCATTGAACCTAGGGCTTCCTGCATGCTAGGCAAGCACCCTACCAATTGACCTAATCCTCAGCCCCAGTTCTGCCCTTATGGGTTCACTTGTACCTCTATCATTGGTGCACATCCCAGTCCATGATCAGTGAAGATACTGTAAAAGTCTCCAATGAGTTGAGTTGAGTAATTTGAAGGTTAGTTGAGTTGAAACTGATGCTGTTTGTAATCGCACAAGCCCAGGCACCTGTGGATAGCAATATACTGAATTTTTGCAATATGCTGAAAGTGAACAATTGAGCCACATGTTGTTGTTAGCACTGACCATCACACTCCAGGATCCCTTGGATGCAAAGTTTGTGGGACTTGCTCTAATCACCCATGAGTTGGACTGGAAAATGGAAGAAGGGCCCTGGGGACATGAATGATGTCCCTGCTCTGGGAGGACTGAGGTAAAGAGAATAAGGAAGTCATAGTCAGTTCTGAGTAATGACTTTAGGCCAAGATGCCAAGTCTCTCTACTCTCATTTCTCTACCTTACATGGCTGCCTAACTATCTACATTCCCTCTTAAAACCTACCTTCTCTCTGCCTCTCCTGACCCCCCCCCCCACCAGAACATAAGCCTCCTTCTTGGACTTCAGAAAAAGGCTCCTGAAATTTGGTTTGCAGCCACCCTTTGAGCTGATTGCACACCCAGTGAGAAGCATTGGAAATGAGAATCTCTGTTTCTGTCACTCCCTTCTGAGCCCTTCTACCCCTCAGAGCTTTCAATGGTGTCTTGTTGCTTGGCATAAGACCAAATCTCTTTATGCATTTTAGAAAGCTCCAGGTTGCCTGACCTGTGCTAGCCTCTCTGGTTTTATCTGGTAAATATTTCTTGCACCCTTGTTCCTCTCCTCCCTCCATTGCCTCCCTGTCCATCTCTCATAGGTTCTTTCCACTCTCTTGCCAGAGGCAGATCCCATCTTTGTGCTGTGCCCCCAAGGCCTTCCATCCTCTTGCCCATAGCTCCCAAGATCTCAGTGGAGGTTTCACCCCTCAGAGGGCTCTCATGAGGGTGACATACTCAGAACAAACTCATCAGGACTGTGTACATTCCTTCACAGTTGCAACTTTACTTTCATTTTTGTAATTATGTGGTTAGGTTTTGCTTATAACTACCAGGATTTGATTTCCACAAAGGCAGAGCTGTGTTCATGGTAGATGCAACATTGCAGTTTCCATGCAAAACAAAACAACAGAAAAAAACCCCCAAAAACATGGCATATAATTGATGTTCAGTCAGTATTGTCTGTATGTAGAAAACAATAGAATTTGGAACCAAGAAACAGCTATTAAGAAACACCCAACTATTGCTTCTCTTGTTTTCTACAAGATGTAGAACCTAGCACGCCAGCAAGTGACAGCCTGGACATTGTGGACATCATCTTTCCCCTTTATAAATCTTTAATTCCATTATTTCTCTTATTGTGTTATAACTTGGAGGAATGCCTTCCCGCCCACCACACACACACATAGAAGAGAGTAAGAAATAGGAAGGTGCAGGTCACTCCATAGCCCTAAAAGAAAAAGTGATGGCAGGTTCCATGTGACAATTACCTTTCAATTCAGTTTGGAGGAAACCAGATCTTCTTTCTCTGTAGTGCTGTAAACAAGGGCAGAGTTGTGTGGCAGAAGGTTGTCGGGAAAGGTTATACTTCCCTTGTCTGTCCTTTAAACTCGGTTTTGAATTACTATTTGTCTGTTCATTCCCTTGTGCAATAAATGCCCAGACAAGTTTTATTCTAAAAGAAAGGGTCAAAGAACAGCAAGAAAACCCTTCTGGCTAAGAGATATTTTGCTCTGCTATATCTAACTGGAAAGACAGAGACAGATAAAACAGTAGGGCAAGTCAGAAAGCTGGGCTGCCTTGAACCTCTAGCAACTCTAAAAGCAAAGGAGAAGAATAATGGAGTCGAGCCTCAGTGAGAAGGATTCTGGCTCTGGGCTTGGTGGGATTCTATCTGTAAACCTCTGTGCACTTTAATGCTTCATGCAGTGATCTTATCTTTGAGACAGTAAGATAAGATAATAGTAAGATAGTAATAGCTACTGATTTCTGAAGGCCCATGAGAGCCAGCTACCATTCTCAGTGTTTAACCATGCAATAGTTCATTTCATTCTCATGAAACCCCCCTGGGCACGTATTACCAAGAGTCCTACTCTGCAGCTAGGGAAAGTGAGGCTCAGAGAGGTCAAGTATTTCACTAGAGAAAGCAATCAAATTAGGTCCCTGCACCAATGTCATGACCACAACCACTCTGCTCTACCAACTCAGGCTTTGTCCTGGTCACTGTCCTCAGAGCTGTGCAAGCTTGCATGTCTTCAGGGAGCATAGAAGCACCTTTTTGTTGGTTGTGATGTGACATAGAATGACCAGAGTAGGAAGGAGATTGAGAGGATCTATGACGGTCTTGAGCCTAAGATATGCTATGCAACTGTGTTTTATTCCTAGTGCTAAATATTTTGAGAAGAATTTTAAGAAGAAGAGATCCTCTGATTCTTGTGCCTGCACTTAGGGCTCTTCTCCTTCTGTTGGGCTGCCTTGTCCAGCCTCGCTGTGATAGTTTTTGTTTTATCCCATTATATTTTATTTTTTCATGTCTTAGAAACCTGTTCTTTTCTGTTGAGAGACTGAAAAGGGGTGGATCTGGAGGGGAGGGAGGAGGAACAAGAAGTAGTAGAGGGAGGGGACACTGTAATCAGGATATATTGTATGAGGGCAGAATTATTTTCAATAAAAGGAAAAAATAAAAGAGGGTTCCTCACACATGGTTACATTTCTATCCTGGAAGCTGGCATGTGAACAAATAATTATGCCGAGTACCAAGTACTGCCTCTAAACATGACGGTGGATGTCTGGGAAGGGATGACAAGGGCTCAGGAAGGCCCAGTGGAGACTTCCTGGCTGGGGTAGCCCTGTATGGAGCTCCTGAAAGGGAAGAGTGGGTGTGCAAGTCTGTCTGGAAGGAACTGAATAGCTGACATCAGGAAACCGGTAGGAGTGGACAGGGCTGTGTAGACATGACTCAGGACAAGAGACTGAGGTTCTGTGAGAGAGGAGAGGTTTAGAAAAAAACAAAAACAAAAACAAAACAAAAAAACCAAAAAAACAAAACACTCTCACTGTATCAGGAGGGCAAGTGTTTGTTAAAAGGGTCTTCCAAGTTGTTTTCCCTGAGATGATCAGGATAATAGGCAATCCCATTGGATTGGCTTGAATGGAGAAAGCTTCTCACAAGATTGGGTGAATCTGTGCCAGAGTTGGTACACCCGGGCTAGGATTGTGGGTGGGAGAACCTGAGATGGATGGGAAAGGGTGTATAGAAGCTGAACGAACGGGCCAGGGCTGTTAGGAAGCTCACCTGCAGCAGTCTGGTTTGCAGCCTGCTCCTGGGGAGATTCAGTTTACAGAGTGTGAAATTGATGATTTCTGGGAGATGCCTCAAACATATTGTCTCAAGACACAGCCAAGAGGCACTAATTTTTTTTATTTTTATTTTTATTTTTATTTTTTCTGGAGACAGAAGACTGTTGGCTCAGAAGGAAGCTGACTTATGGGGCTTAGGATATATAAGAGGAGAAGAGCCTGCATTTGCACGTGCTGCCTCATTTAATATTCCAGGACTCAGAGGGTGGTGTTACCAGTCCTGTTGTATAGGCAGAGAGACAGAGTAGGAGAGGCTGAGCAGAGGGTCCCACAGTGCTGCCCTCACCAAACATCAGCCTCCCTTCTAGTCTACTGGCTCCACAGCCAGAGCTTGTCTTTTTTATTGAGGATTTCAGGCACACTCACAATATATTTCTTCTTTCTTTTGAGACAGGGTCTCACTGTGTAGCTATGGCTGGCCTGGAACATGCTATGTAAACCAGGCTGACCTTGAACACATACAGATGTACCTGCCTTTATCTCCTGAGTGCTGGGAACTAAAGGTTATTATGTCCATCCATATGTCAAGTGTTTTGATCTAATCCACTTCCCATTCACTACCTTTCACACAACTTTCCCTCCCTCCTTTGCAATCTTAAAGAAAAAACAATGAGTCGATTTAGTGCTACCTGTGACTACACAGGTGTAGGACCATCTACCCGAACACAGGTCACCTTTCAAGGGCCAGATCCCCAGCAGCCATCAGTTGCCTGTAACTTTTCACAAAGGAGTGGGACTTCATGAGCCTTTACCTTGTCCATCATAGACTAGGGCCTCTAACCATTGGGCCTTACACAGTTCTCAGAGTAAAATACTAGAACTCAGCTAATTCATTCTCTCACCCATCCTGCCAGTGGTAGAAAACATCCCTCCTGAGCATCTGATATTGTATAGACACAATGGGAGGCTACATGAACAGTCAGAGGAGCGTGGAGCTGGTGTTCAGAACCAAGTGATGGAAATCTGCCTCCTTGTCTTCCAGGCCATGTGTCTGACATTGCCAGGTAGCTTCTCAATGTGGCATTTTCCTACTGCACTGGGTGATGGTATGCACTGGACCGTTGTAAGGGTACCATGGATGAGACACAGGAAACTCTTAGGAAAGGGAGTACCTGGTTTCTTTGAGGGCCTATTGAGGTTTGTCACATGGGTTAGATACTCTGGCAGGGAAAATGTCATGTCTTGCCTTTACGGAACTTATAGCAGATGGGGACAGGGGTGATCAAGGGTGGCAGGAGACGTGGCACTCGTGATGCTCATCTGAGAAATCCTCTCTGATAAAACTGCTGCTCTGTGTCCTGGCCGTTTCCCTCATTCGAATTTATGGGAAACATTTTCTCCAATTCTGCCTCTTTGCTGAGACCTAGCACTGCTCCCATCTCTGTGAAAGCGGTGGGTTTAAACCACTGGTCTAACTGAAGCCTGGCTTGTCTCTTGCAGGATGGGTTGGTCCCTGAGGACAACTGTCTCCACTGCCAGGGGTCTGGCATCGCCACCTGTTCTCTGTGCCATGGCAGCAAGTTTTCAATGCTGGCTAACAGATTCAAGGAGTCCTATCGAGCCCTCAGGTGCCCGGCCTGCAATGAGAATGGCCTGCAACCTTGCCGAATTTGCAGCCCATAGTCTGTAGCCCTGTTTTTCACGTTGCTTTTATTGCCCTCTCACAGGCTACTCCTAATAAAGCAACCCTCTTCCTCCTGCTTCTCTCAGAAATCGAGCTACTGCAGCTGCAATCATTCCTACCACTAGCAAATCTCAAATTATTTGATGACATTTTTGTGAAGCTGGTGACATCTCTACATGGGTCTAAGTAACAGGGGCATTTTTGAATCAGAGTCTGCTTTGAAACTGGCTCTAAAATTATCCCTCCAGGACCACGTGCATGCATCTTCCTTGATTTAGCTCAGTCTTCCCCTTGCACCGGTGAACAAATAAATAAATGTACACTTCAGGCAGTAGGCTGAAGTCATTTTCTGGGCTGGGAGTTATTTTGCAAAATTATGTGGTGAGAAAGGAATAAAATAAGTGGATTTCCAATGAACCAAATTCCTGCTGCTTACAATGCACCTGAAATTGTCATTGGTCACATTGAATTTCTAATGAAGTAGAAGAGAGAAGGAAGGTACAGCCAAGGCGGGTGGTCCTGGCAGGCCTCTGGAAGCAAAACAGTGTGCTCATTCCAAAGACCTGTGAGCTGAGGAGGCCCTCCTTCTGTAGCTGCTCCTATGTGGTGGAGTGCTCTGGCACTAGTGAGGCTGGCAGGGAGCACTCCCACTCGGGTGAGGATGATATACGTTATTTCTGTGTGCCTCTAGCTGGTGAGGTTATAAGCCACGCCAATCCTATTTATGATACATTTGGTGCTCAAGCACAAATTTGTGGTTAGCATTTCGCCTGCTCCTGAGTAAATTACCAAATACACAGGTCTATTTTAGGACCACGATCTAGCTAGCATCTCTTTAGAAAAGACAGCAGGTGTCCGTGCTGATCTAAGGAAACTAAAAGAAAAATCAAGAGGGCTGATAGTTAGACATTGTGTTTCTACCGCCCACGAGTGTGCATGCAAAGGGTGACTCCTCTTACAGACGGTTATTAAGTTTTAAAACCACGTTTGTTAATGAACTTTTGTAGCTTGAACACCCACTCTCGACACTCAGTGAGAATGACACCATGATTCGGTGTCTATCTAGACTCCACGCTTATCTCTGACAATAGTTCTGACTTCTGGCTTAGTGATTCTTCAAGGTTTGTTATTCTCTTACACTCTGTTAAATCAACAGTGAGGTGTGTGTGGGCAATGTGAATACACCTGATAAAAAGATGCAAACACGCTTTGAAGCCCCCATGCTCTTGTCTGCTTTCTTGCTGCTCACCCGACGCCTTTGTGTCACTGTGTGGTTGCTTTCTGCCTCTGTGCCTGCTTCTTATGGATGTTCACCTCTCTGCTCCCCAGCGTAGCAGAAGAAGGAGTGATGTCAAGAGACCTTCAAGTACTTTACTCTTTGATGGGAGCATTCTGCTGTAGCAAGGATAGTAAAAATCTAGAGATGGATATTGGGGTTAAAGCTGAAGATCAGAGAAGCAAAGCAGCCAGCCACTAGAGAGTTCTCACCTCTACCAATGCTCAGACGGGTGGGGCGATCCACCAAATCTCAGGCTGCTTCTGACTGCCCTGCTCCTCCCTAATGCTGGGACTAAAGTAGTGGGATCCTTATTGCTAAGATCACCTTTGTGTGAGCTTTGTTTCTCTTCTAGACCGGATGGATTTCGTGTAGCTTAGGGTGGTCTTGAACTAACAGAGATCCATCTACCTCTGTCCCCTGAGTGCCGGGATTAAAGGTGTATACTGCCACTGCCTGGCCTCCATGGCTAGCAGTGGCTAGCTTTGTACTCTGATCTTTATTATATCATAAAGAAAATATCACATTCTGCCACAAAGCATGGTTTCAGCTACCTTCCCACTCCCTACACACACACACACACACACACACACACACACACACACGGTTGTTATTCCCTCACCTGTCCCGAATGCTCTTCAGGGTGACTAGCTTTTTAAATAAGTATACAATAAATATGTCAATTAACGGCTACACTGATTGTGTTCATTAACTAGGGTAGTTTTTATTGTGATGGAAACATAACTTCTCACCTCTTAATAAGGTATTAAGTATATGAAACCTTACTTCTGGGTCACTATAAACTTCTGAAACCCTAAGCCCAAACCAAATTTTCTTTAATTTTAAAACAACAACAAACAAAGCAAATACCCACTGAGCATGGATATAGAAGAAGGCAAAAGGACAAAATTCTGGTTCCATATATTTTGGTAAGAGAGTATAGATGCCTAAATACATATATTTATGTAATATTCATATGTGATAGCTATATAAAATATACTACAATTATACATTTATACAATACAACTATATACAGAATGCATAGCGTGTTGGAAAGGGATAAATCTATGCTAAAATAAAGCACTGCAAGGTACCGAGAGCTGGAAGCAGTTGTAGATGAGTGATGTTGAAAAGTGTCTTCAGTAAAGGCCTAGCAGAACTGAGCCCTGCAGAAGTCTGGTGGTAAGAGGAGACCTTGTAGAGGAAATAATCACAAAGGGGAGGGGCCAAGAAGCCAGTGTGGTTGCGGGCAGTACACTATGGGACAGATGCGGTATGGTGTGTGTGTGGGGGGGGAGGGGGCAGAAGAGAAGGTATGTGCACCATGTATGGTGTGCATATGCTCACTAGCATGTGAGGTGTGTGCGCTTGTGTGTTGGGTGGCGGCGGGAGCCTTTCTCAGAATTCGTGGTAAGTAAAAACTTGGATTACTGTGACAAGCTGCTGAAGCTGGGCCTCGGTTCGGTGTCACGTGCTCCTCTTCTATACTTTCCCCCTGACGCTGGGGACTGAGCCCTGAAAACTACACTTCCCAGACTTCTTAGCCTGATGGCATCCTAGCAAATTCTGCCAATAAGAAGTACTGGCAGGAGGCTGTGCATGGGAAGAAGACACCCAATCCCACCCCCATCTCCCCCATCTCCCCCCCCCCCCCCGCCCTTCTTCAAGCAGGCTCCTGGCAAGTTTTGCTATAGCAATTAGGAATCTTAGTAACCAAAGCCTGCAATGCGTTCCCTGTTTGAGATACCTAGAATGGGTTCTCTTCCTGGTTGGGTGACGACCGGCATAAATATTTGAGCAGACTGAGCAGAGGAGGATCGTGGCGCGGTGTTTTAGCCGCTTGGCTGCTCTCTGTTGGGAAGAAGTGGGAGGCTGGCAGGAGACGACCATCCTGGTGGTGGCGCATGGTACCAAGTGGTCCAGCTATGAAGGTAGAACCATGAAGTTTGTTTACTGCCCTTGTGTTTGAAAATCTGGTTCCGGATTCTTTGTCTCCTTACACAGATATCTGCACCAGAATATCCACTTCCTTATTTGTGAACCCCGAACCCGGCAGGTCGGACATGACTGAGGTTTAGGACAAGGTAGACTGGCATTTCAGGACTCTTAAGAATCACTAGAGTTGAAAGCAAGTGTGAAGATTCCCAAACATCATCTGGACAGTGCTGAGATTACAATGATGCCATGTTCCCAGAGAATGCAGGAAAGTTTTTAAACGAACAAGGTATTTAAAAGTACATTTCACAGAGTATGCTGGCAAGTGACTGTAAGCCCAGCAGTGGGGAGGTGGAGGCTGGAGAATGCCGAGTTTGCAATCAGCTTGGATTATACAGAGACCCTGTTCTTCAAACAAACCAACACACACACACACACACACACACACACACACACACACACACACACACCAACCAACCAAACAAACAAAAAGACAAACCAAACCAAACTAAAAAATCCAGAAGTAACACTGAGTGGTTTTTACGTTGGGTTTCCATTATGTTCCAGGAATGTGCAGTACCTCTTAGGGAATAAATGTGGAAGTAGAATTGATGTTTATTGCTAATCACAGGTTGGGCCTCTAAAGAAATAAATGGACGTAACTTTACAATCTGGGAACAGCACTGCTGCTTTCTCTTGCTATTCACTTCGGTGTCTTTCACTTTCTCTGCCTGGCCAGGTTACCTGGGCCTGGCTTGATGAGTGCATACACACTCATAACAAATGCGTATCAGCTCTAAGGCACAAGACCTTATTCTAAGATCCTTTCTCTTCCCAGTTCCTTCAACCATCTTCATGACAGAGTGTATTTACTATTGTCCTCTGTCCCCACCCCCATCTTCTTGGTAGTTTGAGTGAAAATGCTCCCTGTAGGCTCTGGCATTTGAATGCCTGGTCCTTGCTGGAAGATGTAAGTCACTGCGGGTGGACTCTGAGGGTTCTCTGCCTTCCCTCCTTTGTTCTCCCCCCACCCCACCCTGGTCCTCATGCTGTGAGTGTAATGGCTCTTCCCTTTGTGCTGTTCATCACAACATACCTAGGCTTCACACACAGGGTCTTTAGCATCCAGGAGCCTCCTTCCTCAGTTCTGCCCTGTTGGGATGATACTTGTTGACTGGAATGGCAGCGTATCCCCTCCTTGCCTGTCTGGTGGAGTCTGCAGAGTGAAGAAGGGCAGTACCCATCCTTCTTAAACCTTTGTTTCTAGAGAAATTTTTTTGTTTTAAAAACAAGGCCTCATTTATGCCTTGTTTTTGAGGTCAGGTTGGCCTCAAACTCACTATGCAACCAAGGATGACCTTGAGCTTCTGATCCTCCTGTCTCTACCTGTGAATATGGGTGTGTGCCACCACCTCCAACTTTATACAATACTGGGATCTGCCTCAGGACCTTGCATCTGTGGTGCAGACACTATCAGCTGAGCTACAAACTCCAGCCTCTGAACTTTAAGGAATAATAATAATAATAATAATAATAATTTTTTGCTTCCAGAAAAGATCCCCATCAAGTTACACATGTAAAAAAAAATTGGAAGCTTCATCCAACATTAAGTTGTTTGTGACCCCAAATTTACTTTTCTATCATAAACTGGCTCTAAATAAATACATTCACAGATATGAATTATTTTAGCAATATATTCCTGTAGATGAGCGCTGGTCACAGTTTTAAAAAAAATTACTGTGGCTCACTGGAGCTTAATTGGAGTGAAGTTTATGCAAAAAAGCAAATCTGAAAGAGATGTTCAAAGTTGTTTTTATCACCTGTCCTCATTAGCTGGATCTCCTCATTTTCTAATTAAACACAGTAATTAATGACAGGTCATAGT